ATTTATGTATGTATATATCATATACATAAACATAGTTGTTGTTGTGGGTTTTTTGTTGATGATCGTGGAGTTTGGTGTTTTTGTCATTAGTGTCTCTCAGCATCTGTATTTTATTCGGCGTTTTTGTTTTGCTGATGTGATTGCATCAACGTGACCGCATGACTCACTAAACGAACAACCAGCTTAAACAAAGTCTTGGCTCGCAGCAACCGAACAGCAGCACTTGTTGCATGTGCATGTGTTGATTGGTATGTCAACAATGCTGAACGCTACAACCGGCATATCCACATTACTCTGCATTCAATATTGAATACTATGAGATTGGTTATGCGATATTTAGAAAAATTGGATATGGTACAATACATAAGTACATATATATTGTATTTTCATAATACATTGACCAATTATTTTGTAGTAGCGGGTGTAAAAAATGCAAGTTTAAATCTTTTAGTGGCTTTTTTTTTTGGATTTTCTGAAAAAACTTACCATAATAATATACAAACAGACATATGTGTATAAATTTTATACCTTCGAAAAGTAGAGATTTCAAAAATGAAAAAAAAAATCTGATATTTTGACGTGAAAATAAGGATTTTTTCTACGTTAAGTCACAATAAGGTGAAAAAAAAATATTCTAAACAAAACAAAAAAAAAACACATTGTGCTTGTGAAAGAAAAAAATTTTTGTAGAAGATAACAATTAAAAACCCAAAATCTTGGTTATTTGAACTAGTATGTAAAATAAAATTTGATGTTATGTGAAAACGATGTACCATATATAGAAAAGTTATAGATATTTTAATTACCTACCGTAGTTTTGCCGGAAATCGAGAAAAATCGTTTTTAGCCCTCTTGCCCTCCTCAAATTTCGCGTAAATTATGTTTCCTTTAGTTTTTATACTCTTGCAACATGTTGCTACAGAGTATAATAGTTTTGTTCACCTAACGGTTGTTTGTAACACTTAAAAATAAACGAGATATATATGGAGTTATTGTTATATAATAACCAGGATTACGAGACGAGTTGAATTCTGAGTGACTGTCTGTCTGTCCGTTTGTGCAAACGATCATCTGAGCAAGAATTGAGATATCTTGATGAAACTTGATACACTTATGTATGTATGTAGATATCTTTGCAAAGAAGGGAGAGCTAGTTCACAGATGGGCGTAATTGGACTAATGCCACGTCCACAAAACTTCATTATAATATAATAATATTAATTTAGCAAGGCGCACCCGTGGGCTGAAAGTTAAAAAAAAGTGCGCGTGGTCCTTCCCTCTAAGAGATTTAATGTACATATATCCTAAACCACTTAAGATACAGTAACTAAATTAACTCAGGATAAATTCCTAAGGCACATCAAGTCTCACTGTAAAAATGCATGAAATCAGTTATAATAAAATCTACTAAAACTGCGATAAATCAATAAATTAATACGCCAGAGGCATTAAATTGTACACCCGAAATGATACAAGAAAGCTTTATAAGAGCAGGCGTCAAAATAACACGATGAACGTGGCACCGCTCACATTTAGGTGGAAACCCATATCTGTGGACCTACTCTACCGCTATCGACGAAATTTTGTAAGTGATGCTACCTTGACATTTCTTTGTTCAAGTGCGAAAGTCGGCGAAATCGAACTACAACCACGTGCATATATTTCCCATATAACCCACAATTCCCATCTGATTGATTCGGAATAAATATTTTCGTGATAATAGTAGCCTTAGCAGCCATATACCTAATATAAAGATTTTCGGACTTCCAGTTGATTTTATACTGCACATATCGGTCTATATGTGAGTTATCTCAATGGAATGAGAGAGCGTGTTTCTTTAACAACAGTGTATCTTTGTGTTTATTGCGTTATGATTCGATTTCGACCATTTTTAGTAGTGAGATGTCATAACCTGAGGCCACTTTTGTAAAAAGTTTTATTCCGACTGCTTCATCGGTAGTTGAATTCGGATGGGATTTAAAATTGTGATATATGGGAAAAATGAGTGGTTGTGGTTCGAGATGGCCCATTTTCACACTGTGATATAGTTATAAATATAGGCTAATGCACCAAAATTGGGGGAAATTAGTCGATTCCTGAGATATAAGATTTTACCCAAAAGTGGACGTATTAAACCTTTTTGCGCCATTTCGTGTGTAAAATTTACACAAGTTATCGCCTTCACGGACGGATGGACGGATAAAAAGTAACCTGGATTTCAACTCGTCATCTTGAACCTTTATATTATATATGTACATATATATAAATTAATACCTGTCTCGATTAGTTCTAGATGTTACAAACAACCGATAGGTAAACAAAACTACAACATTATACTCACGCAACATGTTGCTGGAGTATAAAATAGTTCACGACCTTATCTGTTTATCTATATTTAACTTGTCTCGGAAAAAATGGGCATCTGGCACTTGTTGAAGAGTGAGTCTTTGCTTCTTTAAGTTTAATACACGTACATCATAACTAAACTAAAATTCGATAGACATACATATATAGGTAAAAATTGGAAAATGGCAAAGGTACCACCCATTTTCTAGTGAAAAGTAAAATTTATTTAAACATACCCAATACTTAACAAAATCCCTTAATTGATCTAGGTATCAATAGCTAATATTTTCTCTAGTTATCTCTCATAAACCTTCCTATATCTCAGGAACTACTCAACCAATTTCAATTAAATTTGGTGCGCAACATTATCCTCACATGCCTATGATACAACCACGCCTACTTTCCATATAACACAAATTTATATTCCGTCTGGTTCTTACACTTTGCAGTGTAGAAATTAAGCTCCAATGAATAGATCGGTATAAAACTTTGCTTATAATATCTCAGGTCTAAAAATCGGTAAAATCAGATAATAACTTTTCGAGCCCCCTGATACCGAAGATGTGGAACACAGTGCATATGGCTGACCTTTTTCCGAAATGTATGTGTGAGATTGAAATTCAGAAAGAATACTTTTCTGTATGCCTCCATGTCAAAAATGGGTTGAATCGGGTCAATACTTAACTTATCCCCCATATACGTAATAAAAATATTTTCGAACTTCCGGCTGACTTTATACCGCCTATAGCGACCAATATGTGAATTATCTTAAAAAAATTTAGTGAGCGCATTGTTCAAATAGCAATGTATCTTTGCTCCTAAAATGAACAGTAGCCCCTATATAACTAATATCAGGATTTTGAAACATCCGGTTGACTTTATACAATATATATCGGTCAATATGACAGATATCTTAGCGATATGCCGATGTGCCGAATATGTCGGTCAGTGTATATATTTATAAATTGCTTTATAAAATTTTCTCCCGACTTTCCAGCTGACTTTGAACAGTTTACGTTCGTCACAATGTGGGATATTTTAATGAAGTTATGTGTAACAAGTAAGGAAGGGCTAAGTTCGGATGTAACCGAACATTTTATACTCTCGCAAAGTCAAATAGTATACTCATTTGAGATTTCTTTGTGGATTGGCTGATATTTTCTGTAGAAGGTCAACTATAAGCACTGGGGTCCACATATTTAGTACTAAGGGGCTTGAACAGTTTTGGTTCAATTTAGACAATTTTTGGTCACAAGGTGGCATACTTTAAACGTATTATTCACGCAAAGTTTTACCCCGATATAATCATTGTTGCTTGATATGCATAGTGGAAAGTGAAAGAATCAGATGGAATTTAAAATGGTGTTATATGGGAAATAGGCGTGGTTGTAGTCCGATTTCGCCCATTTTCGCACTATAACATAGAAATATGTAAAGAACGTTATGCACCGAATTTTGTTGAAATTGGTTAAGCAGATTCCAAGATATGGGTTTTCACCTAAAAGTGGGCTGTGCCACGCCCACTGTCTAATTTTGAATGCGGTTCCTATAAAGTCATCTCATAAGATCCCAGGGGCAAAATTTAATATCTCTGACGTATTTAGTGGTTGATTTATCGCGCTTTTAGTAGTTTTTAACAGTACCGTTATATGGGGAGTGGGCGGAGTTGCCACCCGATTTCAACTATTTTCACACCGTCAATAGAAGTGCTAAAAACATTAGCATTAGCGGTTTAGGAGATATGCACATTAAACCTATTAGAGGCGGGACCACGCCCACTTTTAAAAAAATTGTAACTGCAGATGCCCCTTCCTAATGTGATCCTGTGTACTAAATAACAGTCTTGTATCTTATTGCGGAGCTTAGTTATGGCAATTTTTTTTGTTTTTGATTAATGGCGTTTTATGGGCGTGGCAGTGGTCCGATTGCGCAATACTAACCTCTCTTGGGTGCCAAGAAACATGTTTACTCAAGTTTCATAAAGATATCTCAATTTTTACTCAAGTTAGAGCTTGCACGGACGGACAGACGGACGGACGGACAGACAGTCACCCGGATTTCAACTCGTCTCTTCATCCTGATAATTTATATATATATAATATAACACTATATCTAACTCGATTAGTTTTAGGTGATACAAACAACCGTTAGGTGAACAAAACTATTATACTCTGTAGCAACAGGTTGCGAGAGTATAAAAATTTTCTTAAAAATTATGTTATTTAGCGCTGAACATGTAAGTTGTTGATCTAAAATATAGTTATAAAACTAATCGAGCGCTAAGCTTCCCTTTTTTTTTTTATATACCCACTATCATGGTAAGACTTTATATTTCAATGCTGTGCTATTGAGGAGCAACGAATACCCCTTTATAAAGTCAAACCTTCGCTAGATACCTCCCAAATGCAACTAGGGGCGAACTATTTTCAGTCAGTCCTTGCCATTATTGCGACATCTATGTTATATATTACCAGTCGGCACCCACGAGAGGATTCAGCGGGGATTTTGACGACCATAAACCATTGAAATCAACTTAAATTTGGAAATAAAATTTTGTCATATTTTATTTATACGAAAATTTTCCCAAAAACTTAATTAGCACTACGACATATTATGCACGCTTAATTCAAAAATATTTTGTATTATATTTTCAGAATTCAAATACGTAAATCAGTGGTAATGAGCTGCATTTTGAATATATCTGCAAAATACAAACCAAAACCAACATGCTTCGTCGAAATATTTCGAATCACATTCGCCCGTTATTAATGCTGCTCGCCGGACTCATAATTGGCTTCTCATTCTCTCAACAACTTCGCAACAACAATTGCACCTTTCAACTGAGCTTGCCCAGTGGTGTCTTCTCGGCGAGAGAAGACGAATATGAAGGTCATACAATAGCTCTACTGCCGGCCGGAGCAGATGATCTGCTGACACGTTCTGTTACTGCTACTACTGATAATAATACGCTAGCGGCGCAGCTGTACAATGAAACACGTGTGCTCTGCTGGGTGCTAACGAGTCCCGCTAATCACGCCAAAAAGGCTATTCACGTCAAAAACACATGGGGCGCTCGCTGCAATCGCATACTATTCATGAGTTCGGAGAGTGATAAGGAGCTGGGTAGCGTGAAATTGCCGGTCAAGGAAGGGCGTGGCAATTTATGGCATAAAACGAGAGAGGCATTGAAGTACATCTACGACCATCACTTTGATGAAGCCGATTGGTTTCTGAAGGCGGACGATGACACGTACGATTTTCCATCGATTCTTGATTCGAATTGTATTATAATTTGGTTTTTTTGAATATTTAATTTAATTTTTTTTAGTTATGTCATTGTGGAAAATTTACGAGCCTTCTTATATTCCTTCGACAGCAAAGCTCCCATCTATTTCGGTTGCAAGTTCAAAAAATATGTGAGACAAGTGAGTGCGTTAAAAACAAATTTATTTGTACTTTATTAATTTCCTTTGCTGTCTTGCAGGGCTACATGTCCGGTGGTGCCGGCTATGTGCTGAGCAAAGAGGCTGTTAAACGCTTTATGGAGGAAGCCTATACAAATGAGAAAATCTGTCGCAAGCGTTCCGGTGGTGCTGAGGATAAAGAAATGGGCAGTTGCCTACAGAATGTTGGCGTGGTGGCTGGTGACTCACGTGATGAGTACAAACGTGGTCGATTCTTCCCGTCGGGTCCACAAGGACACATCATACCAAAAAATAAATCAGCGTGGTACTGGCGCTATATATTTTACAAAACGGAAGATGTAAGTTCCAGATAGCCAACATACATGTAAAATAGTGTAGTAATTAATTGCTTCTTGTCAAAACTTCTAGGGTCTCAACTGTTGTTCAGATTATGCAATATCTTTTCATTATGTGCAACCCTCCTATATGTATGTGTTGGATTATCTTATATATAGCTTGCGTCCCTTCGGGATTTTCAAACAGATCGAAGCACTGCCAGCGAAACGCAATATGACTGATTTGTTGGAAAAGTGGCGGAATGAAAAGTCTGACAACCCTTTATAAGTATGCCTACACATATAGTATGTATGTACGTACAAACAATTTTGTAGTTAATAGAAAATATATGAATGTTACTCTCAAAAGTTAAAAACAAGAAAGGATATTAACAGAGCCGACCCCTCAAACCCTCAATAAAATAAAACAAAAATCCGAGAGAAGAATGAAGAGAACTTTGGAGGGGAATTTAACGATAAAACTTTGTATATACTTACGTATATATTTCATTATTGTCATTATAGTGCCTTATATCATTATTTATTATATGCACCTAGGCTGTTACAAAATTGATTTATCATTTACATATATAATATAAAATATTTGAATATTTGGAATAGTATAGTCATATACCCTATGTAATTAGCTTAATTAATATTAAAAAATCAATTGTTAACTCTTAAATCATATTGGACATTAAATGGTGCCACTAAACTTGTGCTGTGTCGTAAATTAAAACCTTTAAATGTATATATAAGTGATATAATGTGATAAGTTTAATTAAAATGTAAAAACATATTGTTTTATTGATGATTCTTGTAATGTTGAAGATTATCGATTTTAGTTTTAAAATCCTGTTCAAACTTATATACGTAACATGAAAAATCTCATTCACGAAATTTATATACGTATACAATGTATATTTGAAATATAAGTTAGATGATCTTTTGACAGAATTTTAGCAGAGAATATTTAAAATAAATGATATCGCACGCATACTTTAAAATTTCTGCCGAAAAGCATATTGACATAAATTTAGATGGTTATACCGGCGATAAAGAGCAGTACAATTTTACTGTCAATCATGTTCACTCAACTTTGAAATTTGATTGTAACATGATCTGTAACAAGTTGGCTTTTTCTTCATCACTGGTTTATACATTCATTTGGTTATATTTTAAAGTATATTTGTTATAATTTAAGGTCTAGTAAAAACATATAATTATTTTTGCATTAAATTGAAGGTTTTATTTAGAATAGTTAGAATGATCCGCTTTCGATCAAAAATTTACCGATTTGCTCGATTACTTATTGGCATTTTGAGTATAATTTCATAATGCCACTCTCAATAAAACTTACACCTCTATTGACCAAAAACTGGGACAGTCGATTTTCATAAATTTCTCTTGAGCATTACTAGGAACAGGTAGTAATCACTTGATGCTTGGTCCAAAATAAAGCATAGATACTTAAAAACATTCAAATAAATCTCCCTGAGCTTTCGGCAAGTCACTATCGATGTTTGTGGCTTTGCGTTGTCCTGATGTAAAATAATTCCTCTACTATTAGGTAAAGCTGGTCACTTCTAGGCAATTGCTTACTGTAGACGGTCCAATGGTTGAGTCCTTTGTTTTATATCCAGCCTTATTTAAATGGTACCAAATGGTTTTTGTGCCATGGGCAATCGAAACAGTGCTTACCTGACGTTCGGACTCGATCATTTATATAATTTTATCAATTCGACAATTGACAATCAAATCAAAATTAATGGTACGCAATCGACAAAACCAAAATTGCGCATGGTTGACTCCTACAGTACCAAGACTGCGTGCTTAGTCAAGCAATCATAAAACGGTTTGAAAATATTTTTTAATACAAAATCGTATACTTCTAATAGCATATTGCGTAACCCAATCGCCCTCATACAATGCGAAATACAGATTACTATTGAAACGATTGGATTGGAAAGATTGAAAAAATAATGGATTTCTTTTTTACTAGACCTAATATATGAGTATAGTATTTTTGGAAGTCTAACGATTTAAATTTGTGAGCAGACGTGCATCTTTTAGAAGCTGTAAAAAATGTCACATTTCATATACATATGTATGTATTATTTTAAGCAAACACATTTCCAATAAAATAATGACTTTATACTTAAAATTTTACTGTATTTTATTTCAATAAATCGGCACAGTTGCCGCAAAACCACACTAACGCCAGAAAACTTCTCGACAATTCGTCCAACTTTGTTAGGTAACCGTAAAATGAAATTAAATAACTTGTTTGACATCATTGGCAGTGAACGAGAGAGGGAGGACGATCGGGGACAGTTCCTTCCAGGCCCGGAGTTCTCAGGATATCCCGGCGCCCTGCAACAATTTTTGTACACTTTTTTCTACAATAATTGATGGAACAGAGGGCCCGCACTCTATATCCTCCCCGGTTCCCGGATTTCTCTCTAAGGCCTCTCTCATTGATATATCAAAGGAACGATCATTGCATTCATGAATGGTTACGAATAAAAAAGTTTTGCGCGCGATAGTACATACGCTTTTTGAACATTATCGATATGATCGATAAATAGAAGATAGTACGCTATGAACTAGTCCACTACCCACCGTATTCTAAAGATTTGGTCCTTTACCGACTTTTTTCTCTTTCCTAGACTTAAAAGTGGCTCGTTGGAAAGGTTCCATTTAGATGAGCAAGTCTAGAAACCGAAAATAACTTTTTTTCTTGTTTTTCCTAACCTAGCTGCGCAATTTATCTTAAGTTAGAATATTAGCAGACTTAGAATTATATTCTGTCCCAACCGACTGACGGCTGTGCCTTCACATCAGTCTCAGCCCATGTCCACATTATGATGATTAAACGTTATCTAGGTTTTGAAGATGAGGTCACAGCGGTAAGTTCCCTATTATAACCCTTACCAAGTCACTCAGCTCAAACTTTCCCAAAAGTAGAACCCTAGCAAGTAGAACTATCTTTTATTGAAATTATCGCAAAGAATATTTGTATTACGCGCACTATTCGTGGTGGTTTTCCAAGGTCTAAGGTGTTCTTCGTAATTGATTGATTGTAATTTATCGTTTCTCGTTACGTATATAACTATCACCATCTTTCTCCATTTATTACTCATAAAAAATATAATGTATTTTAATTCTTTAAATTCATATATTCGTATATTTTAGTAAATTTTCAATTTCACTATATTAATTTAGTATTTGCGCATTTTGTGCTTGTCTTTCATTTCGCTCGCATTTCATTTATACCAATATTAAGTATTTATATGAAAATGGCAACTATCCTAAGATTTACATATGTACGTATACCATAAGTAGTATATAATATTTTGCCTACATTTTATTACTGAAAAGTTTTAGTAAAATATTGAAGAAAAAAATATAAATATTATTGTAAAAAAAAATATAAAAAAAAATTATAATTTTCAAGTTTATAATTAAATTTGATTTTTTTGTAGGCGCTAAGTAGTATTTTATTTAGTAGTATTTAGTTTTTTCTAATACGTATTCTTTTTAATAATACATACATGAATTCTTTGGTTTTATGCGCTACATATAGTTCAGAGATGTATTTCTATACTTTAATATTAATATAATATATACTTTTTTTTTTGGTATTTTGAGCTTTCTGTTTACGTTCTTGCTAAAACATATTTCAGAAATATATCAACTGAAAGTGTAAAACGTTTTATTAATTTAACACTTCTTTTTTAATTATGGTTTAACTATAAGTTTTCTAAAATCTTTTACGTATTCAGATATGCAATTCAAACTTGTAAAATTAAACATAACCCTTTTATTAAGATTTAACATTTCTCTATTCAACCGCAAATTTCTTATTTAAAGTTTAATTTTTATTTTTTTTCGGTTTTTAACTTCAATATTTTCAGTGCTATTATCAAATGCATAGTTTATAGAACCATTGTTTATAAATATTAAATAAAATAGTATATCTTCTTATAAAAATTAATATTAAGAAAACTATTCTACTTATACTAACTTAATTTTAAAAGCTATCTAAATAATACGAGTACAATTTGGAATTATTTTGAGAGTTATTTCCTTTGTACAGATCGAAAGCATTGCAACGCAAATGTTTTTGGTAAAAAAATTTAATGTAGCAGCTACTGGCTATGGCAAATACGTATTTACGTATATACGAAATTAGTCCACACAGAGGGGAAACCAATATTTACAAAGCTGTCAACATAAATACAAATATACATACATATTCCTTTCATATTTATATACCAACACGTAACTAAGCCCCCGCTCATGTTGTCGCCTTCTCAGCTTGAATAGCGGCGGTTGTGTGTTCGACTGGCGGTGGCAACGTCTCGCCCACTTTCAGACGTTCGGGCAGCGATTCCGGTGTGTTGATAATACCGTACGGTCGTAAGTGATATATCAAATAGTCTAAGACATACATTTGGTTTGGTGTTACGTAATGGAAAGATATCGCCCTATCCGAACAGCAATCTAAACCCTGTAACCAAAGAGTGTGATCAAATATTAGAAGCAATAAAATATACATCGTTGTATGATGCTTATCGACTCACCTCATCCGTTTTATAATAGATATAACGCCAGTACCAGAAATCTTTATTGGTATGTGATGGTATTAAATGATGCTCCGGCACAAATGGGAAGAAACGGCCACGCGCGTGTTCGTCACGTGAATCGCCAGCGATTACATTTACCTTCGCCAAACATTTGCCGATTTCAGCATCTTCAGCGCCGCTATTGTCCTGCTTGCAGAAATCCTTATTCGGTATGGCTTTCTCGACAAATCGACGTACCGCCTCTTTACTGAGTACGTAGCCAGCGCCACCGGACATATAACCCTGGAGAACAGTTAATAATAATTATAAGTAATCGACATTCTAACAAAATAATATTATCTTATAATAACGGTTTGCGTCTTGATCTTATCGGCAAATAGAGTATTTTAACGCATGACACAATCTCTTTAAATATTCTCCGTAAAAGAAATTTCAATATTCTCAGAGGTCTTACGTAACATGGTGAATTGTTAGCGTCCAAAAGAAAGGTCAACTCAAAAAACATTGCCCTGAAAACTCATAACTACATTCAGAACACTACGACTGTCAAAAATAAGTATAATTTTGATCGATTTTTAGCTATTAACAGAGCTCTGGATGGGTTTTAGCCGTAAATCTCAACCATAGCATCCACAGTCTCCTCTTCAAGTGATTGCTTACGTGGACGACATAGCTCTTTTGGTAAAAGGAAAATTCAAGTTGCCTAATACCGCTGTAGAGGAAAATTTGGAAAGAGATGGGGTCTCTCATCTAAACTATTATTCTGGCTCTATGAACCAGTAGTTAAGCTAATAATCTTTTATAGTGTTGTTGTCTGAAGGAGGGTGCTCGGAAAACCCATACTCGCTAAGCAGCTATAACGTGTTCAAAAGGTGGCCGTCATAGGTATCTTTGGTGCACAAAGGACAACACCAACAATGGTACTCAATGCCATTTTACGTATACACGTAGTACGTCGCCAGGCGGTTCCTTCTTTGTGCACGTTCCGGGATAAGTGTGCGGGGCGAAGCCGTTGGATAAAAGGTGTAGTAAGGGGAGTCTTCTGTCTAGAGCTGTCCATCAAATCTACCTCCAGATTACCAGACCATTGCAGTATCTTTCGAGCGGAGATAGCAATTGTCAAGGTAGCAGCAGATGTACTGTTCCGAAGTTCAGTTTGCGCTACAGCGGTGGCTCTACGGATCTCCGATGTGCTTAACAAGCACTGGTCAAAAAATCAAATCTTTTACGGCTACAAGTTCCTTCTGGAACAAAGTGAAACGCAAGAGCCCTTCGCAAGAGGTGATCTGACTGGACAGTGTCCAATAGGCTCACATCAGGTGAAGAAGGCGAGATGGAATCATCTGCGTACTTTCTTTCAACTGTCCAGCTTTGACCAGACTGAGGTTGATATATCTCAATGGGCACACTTTCGGTCAACCTGGCGAAATTTCTGGGATTGATATTAGCTTCCTTAACAAATATGTAGTAAACTCAAAGCACTTCATCAATCTATAAGGATTTGGCGATCCATTTCTAGAAGTTTTGAGTATTACAAAGGACCAGACAAGCTGTCCAAGTGATCTCCTGTGTCCCCTTTGGTGTGAGAATCAGCTCTACGACCTTACCTAACCTCACGGTATGAGTAAACATTACCACTGTCTATTCGGAGCTATGTTGAATAATAGCCGAAGTCAAAAAACGTTATGAAATAGAAATTTGCTTGAATCGCATAATAATCTATTAATTAATACAATTATTCACGAAATTCAAATGACATAAATGGACAACTCGACTAGGCCTAAGGTCTACCAAATTTCCTTAGCTGGATGATTTATAAACAATATAAACAATCTAGATCTGGGGCTCTAAAGAACAACTCTAGTCAAAGAGATAAACATAAAATTAGGATCCCTGCGATCCCTGGAGGGGACCTCGAGAATCATTGCATTGTTAATGGAACAAAGATAATTTTGTAAGTGCTCAAGATAATACTTCAACATATGCCTCTGAGTAGTCAAAAATTGTAATTATCACTGAAAGTAAATCTCTTCAGATGGAAATTGAAAACAGCGGCGCGAGAATTATACTCGTAATGATCCAACAATTCGCGACTTAAATCGATTTATTTTGAATTATTGGACTTCTTACCTGTTTCACAAATGGTTTGAATTTGCAGCCAAAGTATATGGGTGTCTCCGGTGAGTACGGATACAGCAAATACCGCATATTTTCCATAATCGCATAGCTGCAAAGTATAAATATACCGAACAAATATATATCTAAGTTCAAAACCAACTACAAAATCGTACTTACGTGTCGTCGTCTGCTTTGAAGAACCAATCCGCATCGTCTAAATGGTGAGCGTATAAATATTTGAATGCCTCCTTTGTTTTCGCCCACAAATTGTTGCGACCCTCCTGCACTGGCAACGCCACCGAACCCAATTCTTCATCCTTCTCAGAGCTCATAAACACCAGTTTATTGCAGCGTTTGCCCCATGTTCTCTTTACATGACGAGCTTTTGTTTTGTGATTTTTCGGGTTTGTCATGATCCAACACAATACACGCACCTCATTATGCAATTTCGTCGCTATGCTGGTATTTTCATAAGCATGTTGGTGAGCTCCAATATCCGCTTCCGGCCCCTCCTCACCAAGCATGTCGTGGCTGTTGTGTGCATCGTTGGCATCGCCATGTTGATGACCCGCATATGGCAGATATTCGTGACGCGCCGGCGTCGATAGTATAAACATTTCGGCGAGGCAAAAACCGACGACCAGGCCGACGATGAGGGAAACCAACGAGCGTCGATTCGATCGAGATCCTATTGAAAAGAGTATGAATAAATTTTTTCTGCTATACCTAATATATTTCACCATTTTTGGAATTCATGGCACAAACGACAATTTTATTTCAACTTCAATTTGTTTTCTTATATGTGACATGTTCTAATAAATACCAAATTAGTAATAAAACTTTTTCATAACGAATTTCCAAATTATTCGCTGTTCATAACCAATACGCTATGTGTTAAAGAATAAATAGGGATACGATATTAAATAACACAATCCACAACACAACATGAACAGATCAAAAATTTGGGCAATCCAAAGCGATTGTTAAAAACATATTTAATTTCAAACAAATAATAGACAGTTTAAACACAAAACCATAGTGACAGATAAGAGCGTTAAATTCGCGTAACAATTTCATTAGTTACTACATATTTTTAGACCTATATCAAGAAAATTTCCGTTAACTTGCCTATCGACGAGCACTGTCAAAGCCCGAAAATCTTAAGTGCTAAAAAGTTCCCATAAAAATAGAGCGCCGCGTCTGATAATGATATCAATAATGAGAAGAACAATCTTTATTTATAGCCAAAATATTTTATGTTCAGCACACTACCGTGTAGTTTTCAAATATCAGCATTAAATCGATCTAAAACATCTTTATCCAAGATATTGAACTCAGATTTAATTTTGCGCACGTTCTAACTAAAATAACAGCAAACATAAAAATAAGTTTTTCACATAGCCGAAGTTTCGAGTTATTTTTAAGTCCGAAAATTCATGGTAGTAGGTATAGAAATTAAAATCTAACAATTCAACTTTGTTTGTTTTGACTTTTGTAATTTCAGTTATTAATAGAAGATGTAATAATTTTTAACGTCGGCAATAAACGACTATAAACGGGACTATATAAAATATGTACCTTTGCGGGAAAATAACTGAAGTGTTTACATTATTTAAACATTTTAACAGTACCGAAGTATAGGTATTCATAATGAGATCAAATACGGACTCTAAATAACGAAAATGTTATTTTAAATTTAGACTCGTTTTTAAAAAATAATTGTAATAATCATTTAAACAGTTTGACAAAAATTTGAAAGATTTGGTGAATACAAAACAATTACTGTTATTTTTCTCAATAAACCATCTTAATTAATGTTCTTTATGACGCTATGTTCCTAACAAATGTGCTGTTTTTGTGACATAAAATTGAATAAATACTAAATGCATATTTGTTTAAAAAAGAACGATAAACGTGTTTGCTCAAATAATACATATTTGTCGTATTTGAAAAGTACATTGTTTTCAACGTTCATAGAATACACAAACTTGAAATCATATGTTTTATGACAAGTTGGTTCAAAGCGGTTGTTGCCATAATCTCTTAAATATGTTTGTGTTATTTATTCTTGAAATAGCTTAAAATATAAATTACAAAGCTATTAAATGGTCATGTTCTTAGTTAGCAATTAAAGAATATATATCAAACATTTTATGAAATGGCTTTGCATTTAAAACTTTTAGACTCAAATTTATTTAATTAGAAATAAAATTTGAATTTTCATAAAAACAATGTAGCTGAACTAGATGAATTTGAAAGCATCATATTTAATAAGTCAAATCCGTATGTAAATCAGGACGATTATTTATAAAAACCTGTATCGTAATATGAGTTTCACATTTTTAATAATAATTCAAATTTTTAAAATGTATGAGTATAATTGTGCAAAATTGAACACATGAAGTGCAGGGTAATTAAGAAGCCAAAATGTGGACAATTCGGAGAAGTATATTTAGAATACAATGAACTTCAGCATAATCATATATCTCACGTGACGAATTTGAATAAGTATTTATTTTGAAAGATGTTTCTCTCACTTAAAAATATTGGAGCAAATCTTGATTTTGACTCAAGTGCAAATTTTCAAACTTTAGTTTTAGGAAATCTTAAGAAATGTAGGAAAGTACAAAAAATATTTCTGTGATATACTGATAAAGAAGTGTATTAATATCTCTATTATCCAAAGTTTACATTATCTTATTTCTTTCTAAGTTTGGCAAAGTTATGCAAATTTGATATTAAATTCTTCATAACATTCATCACACACGAATTTCGTTCATATCTTTGCTAACAAAAGTCACTGAACACCATCTTCGCTTCGAATTTTAAAGAATTTTTCAAAATTTATAGCTCTACCACTTTCAAAGCATTATTCTCATAAAAAGTGTAGAAATCGATTTCATGTTCGTTTTTATAAACATGGCGCCCCTACAATTTACAAATTTTATAATGGATTTGACTTATTTAAATATGTTATTAAATTAAGTGTAGTGTAGCTACATTTTTGTAGAAAATTAAAATATTATTTTAAATTAAAATATTTTGAAGATTAAAATAAGTTTTTCAGCAAAACTACCATATCACCCAGAACAACCGAGATAGATATAGGTTATGTATCTATAAATGATCAGATGACGAGATGAGTTGACATCCGGATGTCTGTCTTCGTCCGTTCGTTAATAATGTATTTTGCTGAACGTAACACATGTTCTTTGGCACCACAAGAAATTTGATATTGTCGATGGCCTAATCGACTCCACGCCCACAAACGCCATTAATCGAAAATTATAAAACGCATAATCTAAGCTTAATTATTAGATATCTGTAATTTGTAGAGAAGATTTTATTGAGGAGAGCTTTTATAGTTGAAAATTTTCATAAGTGGAGTAGTCCGCCTCCTGTTAAATGTATATTTGTTCTAAAGCTTTTTCAATTATTCAGCTTCTGTTAACCTTCAATTGTCATAAATTATGTTAAAATGAATGTACTAGGATACGAGTATTAAATAAACAAATCTAACACAAATATGAACAGACAAAAATTTGAATCCAAAAGCGATTGTTAAAAACATATTTATTAAAATAAATATAGAAGTTTAAACAATAAACCATAAGTGACAGATAAGGGTTAAATTCGCGCGTAACAATTTTACTATATATATTTTAGAGCTTAAATCTAAGAAAATTTTCCGTTAACTTTGCCTATCGACAGCACTGTCAAACGCCGAAAATCTTTGTGGCTAAAAAGTTCCCATAAAATAGAGCGCCTTGAGGAGACACAGAAACAAATTGTATAAACAATATTTTATAGCCAAAAATATTTTTGTTCCAGACACACCGTGTAGTTTTCCAAATATCAGCATAAATCGATCTAAAACATCTTTTATCCAAAGATATTACGAACAGATTTTAATTTGCCAGCGTTCTAACTAAAATAACAGCAAACAAAAATGTTTTTCACATAGCCGAGTTTCGAAGTTATTTTAAGTCCCGAAAATTCATGGTAGGTACTTATGAAATTAAAATTAACTTTTTGTTTTTTTTACTTTGTAAATTTCAGTTATTATTAATGAAGATGTAATATTTTTAAACGTCGGCAATAAACGACATAAAACCGGGACTATACAAAATATAATTTTGCGGGAAAATAACTTGAAGTCTGTTACATTATTTAAACATTTTTAACAGTACGAAGTATAGGTATTCAATAATGAGAACTCTAAATTGCCACTGATCGAATATTTAATTTTAAATTAGACCTCGTTTTAAAAAATAATTGTAATAATACATTTTAAAGTTTGAAAAAATTTGAAAAGATGTGAATACAAAACCAATATTGTTAGAGTTTTTCTAATACATATCTAATTAATTCTTTATTGACGCCATGGTTCCAACAATGTGCTGTTTTATACAAAATTGAAAAAAACATGCATATTTGTTTTCAAAAATAGAAACGTAAACGTGTTTTGTCAAATAATACATAATTTGCGTATTTGAAAAAGTACATTGTTCAAGTTCATAGAATACAACAACTTGAAATCATATGTTTTATGACAGTTGGTTCAAAGGTTGGTTATAACTCTTAAATATGTTTGGTTATTTTATTCTTGAATAGTTAAAATATAAATTAAAAGTATTAAATGGTCATGTTGTTAGAATTAAAAGAATATATATCAAATATTTATGAAACTTTGCATTTAAAAACTTTTTAGACTTCAAGAATTTATAATTAGAAATAAAATTTGAATTTTCATAAAACAATGTAACGCGAACTGAGAATATTGAAAGCATGACATATTTAAAAAGTCAAACTGTAAAATATAAATAATGATTATTTTAAAACTTACAAAATGTTTATTTAATAATCTTTAAAATTATATAAATTTCAAATCGACACATAATTATTATACAAATTACAAATTATTAGAATATGAATATATTCATAGAATACGAGATTACGACCTCACTCAATAAATCATCAACATCACCTTAGAGTGACAATTTGAAAAATAATATTTTATTTTTGAATAGATGTATTTTTTAAACATCCACTTTAAAATATTGGAGCAAAATCTTATTTTGACCTCGAAGTCGCAAATTTTTCAAACTTTAGTTTTAGGAAATCTTAAGAAATGTAAGAGTAAAAATATTTCGATATACTGATACAAAAGTGTTATATATCTATTATCAAAGTTTTACATTATCTTATTTCTTCGTTAAGTTTTAAAGTTATTAAATTTGATATTTAAATTCTTCAAATATCTATATCACTCACAAAATTTCGTTCATATCTTTGCTAACAACAGTCACTGCAATACATCTTCGCTTCGTTTAAAAGAATTTTTCAAAATTTATAGCTCTACACTTGCAAACGCACTTATTCTATAAAAAGTGTAGAACGATTTTCATGTTCGTTTTTATAAACATTGCCCGCTACGAATTACAAATTTTATAATGGATTTGACTTATAAATGTCATTAGAATTAAGTTGCTAGTGCATACATTTTTGAAAATTAAACATTATTTTAAATTGAAATATTTTGAAGATTAAAATAAGTTTTTCAAATGCAAATCATTTATATCACTTAGAACCAACGAGATAGATATAGGGTTATTATAAATGATCGATGATAGTTGACATCGATGTCTGTCTGTCCGTCCGTCAGTACTAAGATTTTGCTGAAACGTACAACGTTTTGGACCAAAGAAATTTGATATTGTAGATGGCCACGGACCCTGCACGCCCACAAACGCATTAATCGAAAATTATAAAAGCCATAACTAAGACCTATAAGATATTCAATTTGGTAGAGAAGATTTATTGAGAGGAGCTTATAGTTGAAAAATTTTCATAAGTGGAGTGCCCGCCTCCTAATAGTTAAATTATATTGTTCAAACAAGCTAACCAAATTTCACAGAATATTTTTGACCTTTTCGACATCGTCAAATAGATTACTGGAACCCACACTTTATAACGATTTGTTAAAACTACTAGAGTGCGATAAATCAATAACTAAAGCTCAGAGACATTAAATTTACAGCTGGATGCACAGGTTCAAAGGAACTGACAAAATTGGACAATGGGCGTGGCATCTCCACATTAGGCGAAATCATATATCCCTGGCTTCTTGACAATTTAACAAATTTGGTACATACAATTATTTTAACACACTTTCAAAATGTACGGGAACACAACTACGCCTCTTAAACTTTCTAGCCTACTTTTAAATCTATGTGATTTTTCTACCTCCAGTAGCATGTACAGTCAAAATGAATCATGGGTCAATACTATCTAGGCCCCATATATACATTATCGAAATATTTTCGAATCGTTACTTATCACCGATACACTAATATGTCTTATTTCAATAAAATTGACCAGCGACCTTATATGCTTCATCTTTTGCTTAAAAATAGGTGAGAACTTCGTCTATCCCCATATAACAAATCACAGAACTTTTAAGCCATTGATTGACTTACACATAGTTTGGTGATGGTAGTGAGGTACTATAATGAAACTCAGGAGTATTTATTCTGTGGATATTATGTTATATTGCAAAAATAAAATCGGGCCATTTACCCAATCTCATACCTAATATGAGATTTTCAAACTCTCCGGTTGGCCTAATGCCATATATTGTCAATATGTAAGATATCTTAGCAAAATTACTGAACGTATATATTGATATAATAAGTTTAACGTATATATATATATGTATAATAACTATAGTTTAGTGCCGAAATAGCGAATTTACTCACCACAAGCCAACCCCAAAACTACATACATATATTGATTTTTCGTTCTAACAAACCTCATGCCCAAACATGTCGTTCAAGAGTGTATATTTACAAAATGTCGTGAAAATAATACCTGCCCGTCCAACCAACTTCATCCTGTTTTCTAATATTCGATTTTCCACCCACAAAATGTGATCCTTTATAATAAATGAAGAGGTTATCTTAAAATTGTGTGAATATGAATGAAATTAGTTCACACTTTGTCCAAACCTTGTACAAGTATGTCTAAAATAAGGAATTACGATCCTGCTCGACGTTTTTGTTTATATCGTATAAATGGTGGTTTATGTTTGAGTTTATATCCCATATATCTCATTTGAGCAGAATTAACTTACAATAAACAAAACTTAAATAAGAAACGCATATTTTTCCAAGTGAAGTTCTGAGGAACAGAGAAGACAACGATTATTGATCTGAATTCAACGGTCCAGAGCATTTGGTTGAGTTCAGAAAGATCAGATATAGGATGTATAATCACAGCGAGGCGGGTGCGAAACCCAACTGAAATAATAAAGAAGTGATGTCCCAATGTGAAAAATATTTAAAAATATAAAGGGTAAACTATTTATATCAGAAACTTAAAACTATACCTAGAATGCACCGACAAAATTAAACGTGTGTTTTTAGTTATCGAATGTTATTTGAAATTAGATATCAGATAATTGAACAGCACGAAAATAATTACAGTAACATAAAATAATTAATTTTTCAAATGTGTCCTCATAAGGTTTACGTAACTTTATTCTATGAACGTTGGCTATTTGCAAACAACATTTTAGATTTTATTATAGAAAACATTTAACCATTTTTGTGGGTAACATTGATAACTGTATATTTAAATTTACGGTAGTATCAAAACAAAATTGACTGAATTAATCGAACAAAATACTGACGAAGCACTGTATGACACTTTTGATTTACGATTATTGTTAAACTTCTTTATTGGGTCTATAATATATTCAAGCGTTTTGTTTTAATTGAACGTTTATTTACGAAAAGTGTCATTAATAGTTTATGCAAGTATTGACCTTCGAAAGCATAATTTTCCATCTTTCAGCAGTTTGTAGATCCATCCAAAGAACTGCGGCTTGGCGAACAAGAAAATAATACTATACCGACAGGACATATTTGCATCACGACTAATAGAAGCTGCATTTTGCCGTTTTTAAATAGTTTGAATCGGTCTTGCGTTGTCATCAGGAAAATTATTGCCTCGTTTCCTAAATTCCGTGTTTTTCATCGCACGCTTTAAGTCGATGAGTTATTTTCGTAGCATTCCTCATTATTGATTTCACCGATTTTAGAAGCTCGTAATAGCACGCCCTTCGTAACCCACCATACAGCGAATTCATACTTTGAGTTATGGATATTCGGCTTTGCCGTGAACTTTTTACATAAAATTTTTGCGCTTAAGGTTCTCGTAATGAATCCATTTTCATCACCAGTACAACCGATACAAAACGAGTTCTTTTTAGCGTTCGCAGCATTTCTATGAGCTCTTCTGTGTTTGTCAACAATCCTTATAGAGTAATGCAATTCCCCAGTTCCTCACTTCAAATTTTAACTTCTTCGTCTCCAGCAAAATTCTCATCAATCGTAAAACCACTTTTGACACGTTCGATCAACTAGAGCATGTTCACATAAAATTACATAAAATACGATGATTTTCGACTGAGGTTTTCGGAATATAGGAATAATAATCAGTTACTCCATCTCAGCAAGCCTCACGAATATAGTTATAGACCTAATACTAGGATGCGGCCTATGTATATTAGAATAAAGTTTAATGGATGCATTTCTCTAGCAAGTCCTTTCGATAAGTTAGAGGCATTCAAAACTTTTTACTTTCTGCTTAAACCATATATACCATAGTGTCTACTAATGTGATTTGCTACGCCAAATTTCAGATCTGATCTTATATACGGCTTAGTTGTGCATTTATACGTTTTCAAATAAAGGTTTTGTGGGCGTGATATTCAGATTATTATCGAGTAAATATTCATAGAAATTGATTGACTGAAGATACTTAAATTGATATTCGACGGACGGACGTACAGACAGTCACCCGGATTTCAACTCGTTCCCTATCTTGATTATTTATATAGTATATATGTATAACTCATAGCCAATCGATTATTTTTAGGTGATACAAACAAACCGTTAGGTGAAAGTACCATTATACTCTGCAGCAATTTGCAAGAGTATGGCAACGTGAAAGATATTATATCTCGGCAGCCGAAGCGTTTTCTCTTGTTTTATTACATTTGCTTACCATCAGTTAGCACGAGCGTCCTCAGCCCGTTGACAGTCATTTGTTTGACTTAAAATCTATTTCCTTAACTTAATATGTATGTATATATGTAGGGATATTTCTGACGTTCCCTTATCTTCTAAAATATCACGGCGATTCCTTATTAAATAACGACTTTAGGTTCTTTGGTTAGGTTCTGTGAACTACAACTGTTCCATGCTTTCACATTATCTGAAAATAGTAAAGAGCAATATAATAAGAATTTTACAACATTCAAATCACAAATATATTTTTCAATAGTTAAACAACGGAAGTATCTTGTAAGATAGATAGAAATATATGGTTATATATGTATAAGTTTGTAAATAATGCAACAATGTTTTTATAACTTTATACATACTTATGGTGGAAGTCACAATTTTTATGTTTTCAACATATTGTGAATGACTTATTATTTTAATATCCAAAAAAGTAGAGCTGGCTTCAAAACACAGATCCATCATAACATAGATTTTATATTTACTGACTATAAATATCAACAATAGATTTAGTTTTAATAGTTTTGTCGACTTTTGTCGAAAGTACCACTCAACTTCAGAGACATCTAACGGAAACGAATATACAACAAATACTTTCAACATTATTTTCCTTCAAAAGTAACGAGGTTAAACAAATATTCATTTGAGCAGACTCTTCCGTCTGCGTAGTTATTAATGTATGTACTCTCACAAAATATACAATATTTATACCCTTAAAGAGTATTAAGTTGCTAAGAGTTTGTAACACCCAGAAGGAAACGTCGGAGACCCTATAAAATATATACATAAATGATCAGCATAGATGAGTGAGTTGATTTAGCTATGTCCGTCTGTCGTCTGTCCGTTCGTCCGCCTTCTGTATATAACAACCAACTCTCAGTTTTGGATTGATCTGATTAACACCTTTTAACAAGAAGCTGTAGTCGGAACGGCCGATATCGGACCACTAATAGCATAGCTGCCATACAAACTGAACAATCGGAATCAAGTTTTGTATGGAAAACTCTTTCATTTGAGTAGGTATTTTCATGAAATTTGGCGTGTTATTATTTAAAGATTAATTAACTCCGAAGAAATTGTATAGATCGGATGACTATAGCATATATGCCATATTAACTGAACGATCGGAGTAAGTGCTTGCATGGAAAATTTTTATTTGACGAGGTCTTCACGAAATTAGCACGAGTTATTGCTCAAGGCAACAAATTATTCTCCACAGAAATTGGTCAATCAGATCACTATATCATATAGCTGCCAACAAATTGAACGTTCGAATCAAGTTCTTGTAAGGGGTCTTGCATTTGTGAAGGGTATTATAGCTTCGGCGCAACGAGATTAACGTTTTCTTGTTTTTTGAATATTATTCACTAACTTCTGAAACAGAAATATGGTTACAGACCTGTATCCGAGTTCGTTTGAATGTCGATGACATATGTAAATATAAATATATCTATATATAACATTTACTTAATCCTCTTCAGGTTTGGTGATTACTGTCTAACTACATCTTCGTAGTTGTTAAAATATACAAATTTATCGGAGATATCGGATGTTAAACAATATATGAAAAATCTGCATTATTGAACGTGTTCTGAAATTTTGCCGCTCAGGCGCGACAGTTAAAACTTTGAAAAGTAGTGCAGTGCTATTTATGAAACATTTTGAAATTCAAAATAAAGGTAAGAATGTGTATTATATTACGATTTTAGTAATTATCTGTTGTTAAGTATTTTATAAGTTGATTTATGATAAAAATAAACTTTGTCATTTATTTTTTTATAAGTACGTAAATAGTAAGGTGGTGCCAGTGTGCATAGAAAGTTTGTTTATTCATAACGTAATTTTAAAATGACTCGTGTACTAAATAAACGAGAAATTCAGATTATTTTTAGAAGAAATTTCTTCAGAGGGTAAAAGTGTATGTAGTGGAATGAGATGAAGAATAAGAAAGATACACCACAAACTGTGATAGATCTTAAGACATACCGCCAGACAGCAGGGCTTGATAACGGAGACGGATATTGTTACTCACAGAGAACGCAATGAACACACGATGCAGTAGTTGTCCGAGGTTGAAGTACAACAGTTGCATGTATTCTTGATGAATTCGATCAACTGAAAAGTATCTATGCTTTGACAGAAAGTCCTCAAATGGTGGCATCGATTTTTGTTCAATTTCTGAACTTGCCGCCAAACTGCTTTTTATTATATCGAGAACTGCAGAAAGAACACTATACAGAATGGTATAAATTGGACACAAAATATTTTCGCAGAAGGATGGACCAAGGCATTCTAGCACCAGCTCATGCAAAGAAACGCAATCAGAGCTCTAAGCGTTCTTTCAAACGCTTTGGATAGTCTTCTCCATTGCCAGTCTTGATAAAACGCCACAAGCCAACAGTTACATCAGAATTGCAGTTGGAAAGCAATGTTCATCAGCCAGAGCGAGCTACTTCACGAAGATAAGCGAAATGCAACACTAAAAATAGTCCAACACGTACTGTATGGCAATGCAGCACCTCTTTGTATTCGCAAAGATAAGACATGCTCTTTAGATTTTCGTTAAAAAATAAATTAAATATACTATATATTCTCGCAGTAAATGCATATGTAACTTGCTTCTTATGTACCATCTCATACCTTTTTGTTTTGACCCACAGTCACGATGGTTAGTAAACTAGCCACAATATTCCTCAAAAGCCTTCTGTGCTATTTTTGTAAAAAAAAATTGTTTTCTTTATATTTAAACTAAATATCCATTTGTTTCATTAATGAAGTCATCATATTGAAACTGTGGCTGAAAGAGTTAAGCAAGGTTATTATTTTATGATGAAGGTTGTTGTAATAATGCTTATTTAAACTCAAATCATGACAATTAGGTTCTAATACAGCGAAGCCAAATGTATATTATGCTGAATTTACAAAAATTGTGTTAAAATAACACGAAAGTACGTGCCACAACAACAATGGCAATAAACACAAAGACTTGTTGAGAAATTGATGTGAATGTTGAGACAGCAGATAATGTGGCAAGCTCTTCTCGCTTGCAATAACCATAATCTGGTTATATCATAAACGAGTATACGAATATGAAAATAGTAAAAATAAATCATGGTGAATTGTCTGAAAATTAATGAAATTGATAAGTTATCTAAGGCGTATCTCAAATGTAAGCAAATGGTGTTAGTAAAGTGATAAAATATAATATTTACTAAATCTAACCGGGAAATAAACATCATAAAGGTTGAAATATAGTTATTCTAGTTTGTAAACAATTAATAAAAGCATTTCTAATATACAAAACGTCTGCTATTTTTTCTCCTACGCTATCTGGACCCTAATATTCCTGACACAATACGCTTTCTAAAAATGCTTTTCAGACACATTTTGAGGGCTGGAAATTTATTTGTAATAACACGAAAACATGCTCGAAAACTGAGGAGCTTTCTAATTAGATTTCCTTCAAAAATTACGGCATTACATAACGATTTGAATTACTGCCACAGCGTAATAAAATATTTCACATCACTGTAGATGAATGTTAAACCACTATTTACATTCACCGCGGTACCATAACCTCGATCGACTCTAGTTGGTTTGACATGTTGTCAACCAGGTTAATATCATTTATTCATTCTGGGCAAATTCTACGCAGTGGACCAAAGCTAGTGCTCACTGAGCCAGTAACAACTGTTGCCTCTATAATTAAGAAGAATGTGGAAAATTTCATGCTGATATTCTGTTCAGAAATGTTTGTAACTGCATCGGCCGTTTGTTTATTAAATACTGGAATTTCTTTTAAAACGCCAAGATGACGTTTTCTTGTCTAAATACGATATTTTACCAATTTTAGCTGTAAACACATTGAGAAATGTTTCATTTTATTTTTTGGCAAATTCATACATACAGTGCGTTCAACAAATAACGTTTTTCCTTTGCGCGAACATTTCGGGGAAAACAGTTATTATTTTGTTGCAAATTAACACAAGTTCAATTACGATCACTGGTACGCATCAGTAAATCGGTCAGTTTTTATGATATTCTTAACGTGTCACGTCGCGAAATAAGAAATATTAACATTCAATATGCGAAACGTTTTGAAGCAGCCTTTCTAAGGAAGAATCCTTAAGTTCCAAATGGACTATTAAAAACTGCAAAGTATTTAAATACGGGTTGTACATTTGTGAAGAGGTGGTCTGACCATTATGTGGAAACTGGAAACGTAGATGACAAGCCAGGAAGAGGAAAGAATCACGTGACTCGTGAAGCTAAAACAATTTTGTTTTGAAAGAGATTAGATTTATCACTAAATACAATACGGAACAGATAGACGCACTGCATCAAACCCTACTTTTAAAAACACAAACGAGTGTTAAACACCCCCAAAAGGTGCAGGTTTATGGATGCTTCTCTGCTCATGGATTTGGGGTTTTGAGATGAAAGTGTATAAAAGCTGTTTACTGAAGTCAACTGAAATTTTTTATGACAAGAATAACGATGATTGAATACTGCAAGAAGGCAATGATCCGAAACATAGGAGTACAGAGTCTACTCAATGGAAACAAGAAAATCTTAAATTACTTTAGATTGGCCAACACACTAACCAGACGCCAATCCAATAGAGAATGTTTGAGCTTTAATGAAAGCCAAAATATCAAGAAAACATTTAACTTTCACAAACGATTTCTATCGGCTACTCCAACATAGCTGAAGGTCGCTTCCTGTAGCACATACGAAAAATTTAACTGCAAGTTTCCATCAAAAATTTCAGGCTATAATAGACAAGCTTGGAGCAAGTATTAAATAAACGTCAGCTATAAGAAAACAATGTACTTTGTATAATTACAAAACTTTTCCCAATAAAAGCTGCCTACACTTTGGATAACGAAATTTTATTTTTTGAACGCACTGTACATGCCAAAATATTTACAATTGCATACTGTCGGCTTAAACTTTTGTTAGGTCAATCATTTATTTATTAGCTCTGCCATATAATTTTGAAAATATATTGCATATATTATACAATAATAAATTGAATTGTTTTCAAACAAAATATCGTGACCAGAAATGTTACTGTATTTAGTTTTGAAGAATAATAATGATCTTAGTTTCATTATACCAAAACTTTTTTCCTGAAGACAATTCTTTGCAAGTTGATACGAAATTCGTATTTTATTTAGTATTTAGTAGGTT